TTCTATTATTTTAAAAGAAATTAAATAATGAAAAATTTGCATGTATGGATGTATTTTTCTTGCGTTGAGAGAAAACGATGGTACCTCACACGAGCCATCAAATTCTGAATAACGTAATCCTCCATCTGAACATATGCATCTGGAAGACAGAATTTTGAATTTTAGTTTAAAATTTTGTAAAACGTTAATGAATTTTTGATTAACACACTCAGCGACTTCCAAATGACAGTGGCAAAACTGTACGGAATAAAACATTTTTATCTTCAGTGTCAGAATGTGTATCGGAAATTCTAAAGATAAGCTGTTTTTAATTGTTTGCGATTTTGCTGATGAATTGAATTTTATGTGGTTTAAGTGCGAAGGACTTGGTATTTAATAAATAAAGGTAATACACAAATAAAATCTGAAAGCTTTCAGATTTTATTTTATAGTGATTCCACACAAAATCCCGTTTTGAGAGAAATAGCCCATGATAACACTCCTTTGGGCTAAAAAGTTTTTTAAAAAAAAAAGTGTTACGTATAGAGTTGCCATAATTGCGTAGCATTGATAGGGGACTTTTAAGTGCTACATAAATAAAACGTGAAAAAATGAGTAATTGTTTATTTTATTCTGATTTAAAAAAATTATGATGGGTTCTGTCTTTTAGTTTAAAGAGTCACTGGCATGAAATGCGTAGGAAGTGCGAAAAACATGATACCTAATAAAAAAAAATTAAAGCACAAAACTTAAAAATAACTTAAAAAAAAATTGTAAGCCCTGTTACTAAGAAAACTGAACATTGTTATCATAAACTGGAAAAAAAAAAAAAATGTATACCAACATCGGGAATTCTTAGTAGGCTGCTACGTTGTTTTAAAAATTCTTCTAATTATGTTGTTGAATTATATATGCCGCAAGTGATGAAAAAACGTGATGCTTAATAATAAAGCTAAAAATACAACTAAATGGGTTAGCATGAGCGAGTGTAACAGCAAACTGGTACACTGAGCTCAGCGAAACCATAGAAAACCTATAATAATCCTTTTAGGTGATCATTAAAATCTGAAACCTTTCAGATATTTTTAATATCATTTATTATTGTTGCACCTGTATTAACATAAAATTTTCAGTACTTTTACCTTATACCGAGAATTAATTTCCTTTTAGTAAGCAGAAAATTCAGTGTGTGAAGGAGAGAGCTGGCGCAGTGACTTTTGGGGTAATATAATGACTGTGAAGTCTCCATAAAAATCGAACCCACTTTTAGAAATCAATGGTATGAAAAATAGCCATAATTTTCCCACCCCCTTTTATAAAACAATAGCTTTCAAACCCTCCATAAAAATCCAACCCACTTTTAGAAATTTATGGCTCTGTTTTATTCATATAAATTTTGTAAAACAATGACTTTCAAACCCCCCCCCCAAAAATCGAACCCACTTTTAGAAATCAATGGTATGAAAAATAGCCATAATTTTCCCACCCCCTTTTATAAAACAATGGCTTTCAAACCCCCCATAAAAATCGAACCCACTTTTAGAAATCAATGGTATGAAAAATTGCCATAATTTCCCCCCTTTTATAAAACAATAGCTTTCAAACCCTCCATAAAAATCCAACCCACTTTTAGAAAATTATGGCTCTGTTTTATCCATATAAATTTTGTAAAATAATGGCTTTCAACCCCCCCCCAAAAAAATCGAACTTACTTTTAGAAATCAATGATATGAAAAATCGCCATAATTTCCCCACCCCGTTTAAAAAAACAATGGTGAATAAAAGCCCCATTAAAAATCCAACCCACTTTTAGAAAGTAATGGCTCTATTTTTATTCATATAATTTTTTATAAAACAATGGCTTCCAAACCCTCCATAAAAATCCAACCAACTTTTAGAAAGCAATGGCTCTATTTTTATCCATATAATTTTTAGGAACGAACAAGCGAAGAATCGCTGAGACCTTCGGCGAGCGCCCCCTTTTCTGAGACCACCCCCTTTTCGAAGGGCCTGATGAAACCTAGTGAATATTAAATTCATTTAAAGAGATGATTTCTATATGTAAAGATGGAAAATATTTATGACTTATTCGGGGATATTAGAGCTTTATATAGCTCAGGTAATAACAGTAGAATGTAAAACTATATTGAAACTATAATTCAGTAAAGCTATATTGAAAATATGATCATTGATGAGAAAGTATATATATTTTAAAATCGCTGCTTCCATTTAATGTACCAAAAAGCAATATTTTGAAAATTTATTATTTTGAATAAATATTAATTGAATTTAGAATTCAAGTATAACTAGTTATTAGAATACTTATGAAAAGTTGAGCACACTGTCTGCTGAAATAGCAAGAAGCTCAGGAGAAGAATCAAGTCGAAAGAAGATACGAAAATTGCTGATGGAGTTTTTATAGATTGCTGAATAATAAGAGATTGACAGTGACTGACAGCTTTTTGAATTGACAATAGACACTGACTACTTAAAACCGTATACTTTGTGGCTGGATTGTTAGAGGGGGTGTATCTTCATGGTCTTGGAATAAAAACTCTTTAGAAAAGGCTTTCTGACAATGCAACATTGCTTATTGGGAATACATCTTAAATGAAGGTATCTTAAAAGAACTTGAGTAAGACATTGAAAATTCGTTAATTTTGAATTAACTAACACTACTACTAACTAGGAATATTTTAGGTTGCTTTTACATATCCTGATAATTTTTCCTAATATATTCTAATTATATAAGACTCATTTAAATATCACCAGTACTCAGTATATATTTTACCCGCACCGTAATATGGTCACATGAAGTTCAATTTGCCTAAGGGGAGAAATGCCTTTGTGGAAAACTTTCTGAGAACTGTCTAATGCTTACCATAATGCTTGGAAAAATAGGAAACCAACCGTGTCGCCAGCCCGTTTATTCAAGATCTAACCTGGGTCGAACTTCCATGCTCATGCGGTCTTAACCACTAGACCATTGACGACGAGTAAAAAACTCCACTTTTCATTGTAATTTAAAAATTTGAAAAAAGTAATGTTTATGAGACCTTTTATACTATTTACACAACAACTATATCAGTTACACCAGTGAAATAAGAGCACTAAAGTAAGGTTATTGAAAATTATCACCTAAGTCTGATTTTACGACAAAATTGACGATCTGAAATTTGGCAACAGAATGTAAAGATAGTTATTCATATGCGAGAGGAGAGTTTTGAAAGAAATTACGAAATTTACACACACACACACACACTAAAAAAAGATCTTCCAATCTATCAATAAATTTTTATTTAATTATTTAATTTTAAGGGTTCGAAAATTTAGATCAAAATCGAAACATATATACTGCACATGCATCAATATAAAAAAGTATGCGATGCATATTGACCTAAGTGGCAATTAATAGCATTGGAATATTGTCCCTCCACATCCGCGGAAACCCATGCAATTCTAGACTGAATTAACTATTTATCCATGCAGATTTGGATTAAAATTGAATTCTACATCAGCCAAGCAATGATTTTAAATTAATCATGCACTTTTCGATTGAATTGAATTTTAAATTTTCATACTATAATTATTTAATTTTGAATTTAATTTTAAAAAATTATTCTGTAATCTGTTAAATAAGCGAAATTTCCACTATTAAACTGAATTTGAAACGATAATTTATTAATTATAAGTAAAAAACACTCTGAAGTTTCATTAAATTACTAAAACATATTGAATACCTTATAATTACTAATAAATATCCTCATTACCCCTTCTAGACAAGCGTAAATAATTCTAATAATGATGAAAATATCTAAATTTTGTCTCGGGACCTCCAGCAACCGAGCGGCCAAAATCGGTGAAACACTGGTAGTTTCGACTTCGTTTCGATTCCAGGCAAATGGGCTGGCTGCATGGGCGTTTTTGTGATTTTCCCCATGTGTAACTAACTATACGAGCCAATTTTCAACAGAAAGAACTCCACGAAGGCATCACTTCCTTTAGATAGATAGCTTTAGTGTGCTTTGCCAACAAACCAATCGTCAAGTATCAATCATTAATTCAGTTGAATTAACAAGAAATAATGGCCAAAGAATCGTAAAAACTACACGAAGATATTGATTGTTATTTGCCCCTCAAATGAATAAAATGTGAGATGCAATACCTTTATGGAGGTTTTTTTAAGGGGACTGTTCTTTACGATGCACATTTTGAAAAATGATAATTACTATTCAAATACTAATAAAATAATAATAAAGTAGATAAATGCTAATAAAAGGATAAATACTAATAATAGTAGCAATAAATAAGATACGCTATATAATGGAAAGCATAACTGTAACAATTTTAAACTTTATTTACACATTAATTTAAATAGCAGCACTATTATATTTTAGTAGCTGATTGTTATACAAGCAGTAGAATATACCAAAAATATAATTTTAAATTAAAAGATAAGTTATAACATTGGATAGGATTAATTAGATCCTGATAAATTGCATTAAGGTTTATTTACCTCAAGAAGAAGGATGCTTCTGTGGAGGATATTTTAAGGGAGGTTGACGATAAAAAAAATCCACAGAAACTTCCATGCAATTAACCCTTTTCTCTGAAATTTTAACTGGGGTTGAATTATCAGTGAGTTTTATCCGCTCATTCGTATGGGCTGTGGAGCTATAAGAATGGCACACCAGTTTGCAGTAAGGACAGTGTTCTTACTCGGTATTATTTTCATTAACACTAAAGGCATTTTTAATTGAATTTGAATAGTTTAGATAAAAAGGAATAGATAATTTATAAGACATTTAAGCAGTCATTATCGCTGTAAATTTCAGAATAGATGAATTCTGAATGAAAAATTTAAATTTTTAACAACAGACAAGACACTTTAGAACACAAAGATTTCAGTTCTAGTAACAAAACATAGACAAACAGTTCTACACAAAACATTTGAAATAAAGCAACAGCAGCAATTTGAGGGAAAAAAAAAAAAAAAAACTGAAAATTCAATATTTACTTACTTGATGTAGTGGCTGGAGGTGATTTTCTGCTCATGTTAGTCATGGCGTCACCACTCATTATTTTCAACGCAAATCTGGATTTCATGAGCAATGTTGATATCCACTAGAACGTTCGCTATTGTGTAGAACTCGCTATAGCTCAACAGAATCTGTATGTGCTTCGCATGTCAGCACCCCACTGAAGACCGTACGAATCACTGTTTTACTAAATCTGTTTTCCGGAAGGAAGGTGGTTATTACATCCCCCCCCCCACAGTCAACTTTTGGCGCAAAGAGTGAATGCTTAAAAGCTATTGGCTTTCGGCGATGGGTGGCAGTCATGACTTTAGCAGAACGTTAGTGCACAATACCGGCAGTCATTGGTCGAAGTGAGAGTAAACTGGTTGTTCATTGGGTGCTTTTTGACTGGGGGCTTTGCTTTCAGTAAGCCACATTTTAGGGGGGGCATCTTTTGTAAACTTTGGATACATTTGACGTCATCAAGTTAATTGGATGGCCGGTATAATACATAAAAGTTAAGAGCCTTGTAGAAAGAACCTGAACCAATTGTATACATTTCTTATATTATCTTGATTGTTTGTATTCTTTGATGTTTTTCAGGTCTAACACGTATTTTTTTATTTACATATTTACGTAAAAAATTGGTATACTTTAGAACTGCGGATGTTTCCGAAGTACTAATTACTTGAAAAGTTTATTTTTCGAAATTACTAATTTAACGAGACACATTTTTGTTATCAGTAAATTGAAATCAGGTGTTATTAAAAATGTATTAGCCAACATATGAACGTTCTCTTTCATTTAGTTTAATTCATTTAGACTTCAGTTACTTTTAATTGCTTTAGACTTATTTATTTTATTTTAAATTGCTTTAGACTTTAATTGCTTGTGTGTGTGTGTAATTGCTGATGGGTACTGAAATCAAGCAGCTTAGAATCGAAAATACTTCCGAATTACTAATTATTGGGAAGTAATTAATTTCCGGAAAATGTTTATTTAATGAGATAAATCAAAGATAATTTATTAAAAAATATATTAGCCAACATATGAACGTTCTCTTTCATTTAGTTTAATTCATTTAGACTTCGGTTACTTTTAATTGCTTTAGACTCATTATTTTAATTTTAATTAAATTGCTTTTAGACTTTAATTGCTTGTGTGTGTGTGTAATTGCTGATGGGTACTGAAATCAAGCAGTTAGAATCGAAAACTACTCCCGAATACTAATTATTGCGAAGTAATTAATTTCCGGAAAATGTTTATTTAATGAGATAAATCAAAGATAATTTATTAAAAAATATATTAGCCAACATATGAACGTTCTCTTTCATTTAGTTTAATTCATTTAAACTTCAGTTACTTTTAATTGCTTTAGATTTATTTATTTTATTTTTAATTTCTTTAGACTTAAATTTGCTTTTGTGTGTGTCTGATTGTTGATGGATGAAATCAAGAGATGCAGCTTAGAATCGAAAATACTTCCGAATTACTTATTACTACGAAGTAATTAATTTCCGGAAAATGTTTATTTAATGAGATAAATCAAAGATAATTTAATAAAAAATATATTAGCCAACATATGAACGTTCTCTTTCATTTAGTTTAATTCATTTAGACTTTAATTGAGTTACTTTCATTCAGTTACTTTTAATTGCTTTAGACTTATTTATTTTATTTTAAATTGCTTTAGACTTAAATTTGCTTTTGTGTGTGTGTGATTGTTGATGGATGAAATCAAGAGATGCAGCTTAGAATCGAAAATACTTCCGAATTACTAATTACTACGAAGTAATTAATTTCCGGAAAATGTTTATTTAATGAGATAAATCAAAGATAATTTATTAAAAATATTTGTGAGATATATATGACGTACTATTTCATTTATTTTAATTCCTTAAAAACAAAATTTTTATTTTTTGTTACCCCAAAACGGCATTTTGGGTCAAATCAATAAAAGCGCTGGATTACTTTTCAGATTGTTGCCACCAAATATCATCCCTCCGCATTATATTAATGAACTTAAATAATGGATTTTTTATAAATTTTAAATTAATGTACACTTTTTACATTACTTTATAAGAATTGCTTAAACATGTGTTCCAAAATTAATTATTTAACATTAATTAGTTTATTTCTGCATGTAAGAGTTGTCGGAATTAATTAGTTTTCCATGTTACATTTCTTTACTTATTTGATTTTAATTTTAAATTACTATACATAACAAAAAATATTTGAATAAGATTTTAAGTAACATTATTGCAGTTATTGAAGCACTTGTTTCGAAATTTGTTACGTATCCTTAATTAGTTTCTTGCTTTGTTAGATTTTTCAAAATATTTTTGAATTAATGTAGACGTTTTAGGTCACTTTACTATAAATCGTGTTTCAGATTTTATTGGTTCTTCTTTTTTTTTTTTAATAACTTTTCTTTTATAAAAGACAACTTGTTAAAATTATTTAGATCTTTTTTAGCGGGATTGTTACAGATTAAGAAAAATTTCGCCATTTTGATATGATAGTTACTCCTATTTTAATATTTTTACTAGTTAGTTGTCTGCGTTTAGGTGCTCTATTTCTGCTAATGTGTGTCTTTTTCTTTATATTATTGGGTCCTACTGTAAATTTATTAATATAACAGTAGGACACAATAATATATATATATATATTAAAAAAAAAAAAAAAAAAGACATATTATTTTAACTGAAATTTGCGTTCATTGAAATTCAAAAAGTCATTTGATTTTATAAAACCTCGTTTTAATTTCACTATGGTGATTTAATTTCAATATGATTTTTAATATGATTTTCAATATGATTTTAGATGATTTCAATAAGATTTTATTATACGATAATCATAATCGTATGTGTATGAATTATACGATTATGATTGATGATTTCAATATGATTTTAGAAATAAGGTACATATTCTAAGAGCTATCTTAGAATATTTACCTTATTTCTAAAATCATCCACCAATTTTACATAGGGTCATTTTGAATGAATAAATGCAATAAATAAAATTTTAAAAAAAGGAAAATGTGAAAGCTTTTAGGTTTTATATTACGCTCAAAAAGGGCGTGTTTTTTTTTTTTTTACGCTTTTGTGTGTTACCTTTATTTAATAAATATCATGTTCTTCACCCTTAAACCATAAAATTCTGTTCAACAGACATGTCGCAAAATGATTTAAAGGCACATATGTTTAGAATTTCCGATGCACAGTCTCGAACGCTGGAGATAAAAATGATTTTTTTCCCCCTTACAGTGTTGCCACTGCTCGCTTTGAGTCTGTTAATCAAAAATTCATTAAAATTTTACAAAATATGAAAGAAATAATAAAACGTATTTCAAATTTTTTTTTTTTTTTTTTTTTTTTTTTTTTTTTTTTTTTTTTTTTTTTTTTTTTTTTTTTTTTTTTTTTTTTTTTCTTTTTTTTTTTTTTTTTTTTTTTTTGGCTTCCAGATGCGAATATTCACATGGAGGACTACGTTATTCAAAAATTAAGGTACCGTTGTTTTTTTCACAGTGCAAGAAACATACATACATTCATGCAGATTCTCTTTTATTTATTTTTTTTTTTTAAAATATGATGCAGGGATTAACAGAATCAATCTAATGTTAAGAAATAAAATTTTGAAGTAATTGTAAGTAGCGTTAATGAAATTTGGCTAACTTTAAATGAGCTATTTTAAATGGATGTTTCTTATGCAATACATGATGTAAACCTATGAAAATCTCAATGCATATCCGATGTGTCTTGACATAAGTCAACAACCTTAAATTGTCTTTTTTTTTTTTTAACGAGTTTCTTATTTATCCTTATAATTTTAATTTTTTTTCCAATTTTTCCCTTAATATAAAGGTAACGCTTCTGCTTACCCTCGTATTTGTTCACAACAGTCAAGCCATACCTTATACGCCTCATTAGCCTTTTGGGGAGTCTAATGTAACTGACAATCACACTGACTTGCCATTGATGATGAAAGAAAAGGATAAAAGCAGGTGCAATGCAGGAGTAACACCCCAGGTAACGAAGTCAGATCTGGAACAAAAGAGAAAAGATAAGGCACACTTTCGAACAAACAGGCTTGAGCGGAGGTTGATTTCCCACACACATTCTTTGCCTCAAGTTCATGGTAGGCGAGCTTCTTATATGGAATGATTATGTACTCAAGGTGAAAACTATCCTCAAAAGCAGAAAGATTCGTTTCCAGGTATTTCCCAAACACATTAAAAAAAAAAAAAAAAAATCTGATGTGTACACCACATGACTTCCTTGAACGGAATATTAAATTCTACGCATTTTTTTTCCTGCATTTCATTTAAACTTATTGGATTGAATTAAATCTACTTCGCCGACACGCATAAACCACAATAGAATAAATGCATTCTTAAATTCACTTTGTTTTACCAAGCGACACTCTGGCGCTAGGTTCACTTAAAGTATTATATTTCGTTCATATTATAACTCAGAATGGACAAAATTTATTTCATTTAAAGAATTGTCTAATCGTTACAACATGTTCTATTCAAATACTATAATAAAGCTAGAACTCTAGAACTATGTATAAAAGAAGTTAAGCAAACAAAACAAAAAAGAAAGAGTTTTTCACAGATGATTGAGTATTTGTCATTCAATTAATTCAGTTTTCACTTCGCGACAAGGCCAAAATACATAAAAATTCAAAATATCTGTATTAAAAATTACGAAGTAAATCTTAAACGCTTATTTCCTCGAAAAAAATTCCAGAAAGGATTAAGCATGATTTAAATAATAAATGAAGGCGTCATCTTTGTTATTGTGAAGCTAAGTTTCTCTAACCAATCTGCTGTTTCAAAAGCAAACAAGCAATGGCCGCCATGAAAAACATTATTAGGCTTAGCGGCACTTAAACAATTTTAAAATTGTTGATAATTCTAAAAATACTGCATACAGATTTACTAAAGGCATAAAAACCCTAACCGGAAGATAAGAACAACATAATTCAATCATTTTTAAAGCAAAAAAAATGTACAATTTACAAACATATAAGAGTAAAAGAACTGAGATCACTGAGCCGGGTAACAGAGTGGATATATTATATAAATATATTTATATACGTTTGGTGCAGCCGATTGCAACCAAAATACGAGGTGC